CAAAAAGATTTTAGGAAAGTTAACCCAATGTAAGTAGGTTTCATTTTTTTTTCTTGCTTTGTTTATGCCTTCCATGTTTATTTTATGAGTTGTTAATTCATGTAAAATGTGATTATGGTATTTTTTGATGACTTTAAACACTTGATGTTTGATGATGGATGGTTATGCATGTGTGATGAGAAATGTGCTTTAAGAGAAGATTTCGGATTTTAGGGGTGAAAAAACCCAAACTTGGTGTGATTTATTTCGGGATCTTAGAGTGATTTTTAGGAAAAATGAAAAGAATGCAAGTTGTTGATATATGTGTCTACTATGTATCTTTAAAATTTTATGACTTTTAGAAATATATATATAGAGTTATGACTGACTTGGTATGGATCGTTCGAATGGACCACTTATCGAAAAAATATTTCATTCGAAAGTTGTGTGATTTATTTCGAGATCATAGAGTGGTTTTTGGGTAGAACTCAAATAAGAAAAGTTATTCATCTATGTGTCTAATAGATTTATATAAAATTTTATGATTTTTAGATCTATATGTAAGGATTTATGACTGATTTGGTACGGATCATTGAATGGATCAGCTACTTGGAAAAGATTATTTAGTTTCGAAACTTGTGTGATTTATTTAAGGATTTTAGAATTATGTTTTGAGGAAACTTAAAGAATAAAAGTTGTTGATCTATATGTCTAATATCTCTCCTTAAAATTTTATGAGTTTTAGATATTTATTTAAGGCGTTATGGCTGATTTGGTATAGGTTATTTAAGTGTACCACTCGCTGAAAAATTTTTAACCTAAAATAAATGGGCTTAGATTAAAGGTAATGGACTTGGACTTGAGTTAAAATGAGATGGGCTTGGAATTACAAATAAAGTGGACTTAGATTAAAACAAATGGACTTGGGCTTGGATTAAAATAAATGGGTTTGGACTTGAGTTAAAATGAGATGGGCTTGGATTTAAAAATAAAGTAGACTTAGATTAAAACAAATGGACTTGGGCTTAGATTAATGTTAATTGGCTTGGACTTAAATAAAATAAACTTGGTAATGGACTTGGACTAAAATCAAAAGGCTTGGTTTTAAAGTAGATGGGCTTAGACCGACGGAAATGGGCTTAGGCTAAAATAAGTGGACTTATATAGAAATAAAAAGGATTTTAAAATTTTAAAGAAAATTTATTCTTTCGAGAGGAAATTAAAAAAAAAAGAATTGGGCCTTCTTTAATTATTAATGAAACTAATAAATAATATTAATGAGCGAAGGTTATGTTTCCGCTATGAGTACCATGATTGGTATGTGAGCGTCGAGTGAATCCCGAGTGATGGTTGGACCGTGAGTATGGCTTGAGAAAAAGAGTCGGTACCCGAGTTTGGTTGAATGTGATTAAACATGTCATCACGTGCATCATGTGCATTGGGGGTGGAAATAAATTGAGAAAAATCATTGAGTCTTGAATTGACACGGTTTGGTAACCGAATTGAGTGGATTGGGTAATAGCAAGAAATCCATAATGTGAGCTCTATTTACTAACACCGTTAAGCGAGGGATAATTTTGCTAATCGTGTGCTACAACGAGGGATAATTCCGTTACGAGCGATAGGTGATATTGAGATCACCGAGAGAAAGTAATAGAGCGAGTAGGTGATAACACGATTACCGAGAGATTGGGCGCACGGACTTGCATATACCTAGGGTACCTGGATTAAAATGGATGAAAATATGAGAAACACAATATCATTGCATATCATGTGCATCACCCTACTTACCGAGCTTTGGCTCATTTTGTTATTGTATTTGTGTATCGTTCGAGCAAGGGCAAAGTTAAGCTCGATCGAGGATGCTACCGGTTCTCGCTAAAAGAGGCTCATGTGTCACTCATAAAAATAGGAATATCTTTTATGTCATTAAAAAGGGATACGGGCCTAAGTTGTAAATTTTAAAGCATTTTGAATATGTTATAAATTATAGAACTATATGTAATAATGTTATAAATTATATCATACGTTTTCCATAGTTTAGTTTATGTTGTGTATGATGGAGGAAGTAGGGGACTTAGTCCTAACAAGTGTGTCGCACCGGTTACGCTTGTTAGGTAATAGGTAAGTGAGCCGGGGCGTCACGAGTGTTCGTCGCATAGCCGTGAGTCGTCTAATTTACTCCGTACGGGTCTATTGTTGTTCTTATATTACTTGTTGCTGTTGTTGCATTAGGTGTATTAGACGATTCATAACGTCTTATAGGTTCTCATTGTTAGTCCCGGAGGTTCCTTCCCCTCCCGCAAGTAAGGGATTCCGTCTTAACATGCTTTGACTTTATACATGTCACGTTATGTTCGGGTTAGTTTTTAGTATCAAAAATTTAAATGTCATGCATCATACACAATAGAAAATAGCCAAAGATATATAGATAATGAATCATAACATACATTTCAAACTTTCATCATGACATACATAGTTACATCTCAAAAGATTTAATGCCGGAGTACACACAAAAAGTGGCATCGCTAGTTCCAAAAGGGCATGTCTAAATACATTAGTAGGTGCACAAAAATCTTAAAAGATGCACGGGGCACTAGGCCATACGATACGTTTCCTAGACACATATCTACTCCATCTAATCAACATAGCGAACATGTCATGGAAAGGAGGCCTCGACACTCCATCGATTAATAGTGCCAACCGATAGGATCCGTGCGATGTCGTGAGCTAAAGGCAAGGGTAGACCCCGATTATACATCAACCTAGTCAAGGTCCACATAACATGTATCGAGCATGATGACTCATATCATGTTACGATAAGAATATCACTCTATTATGCTCTCCTAAATCGTATCAAGTAACTACCGATCTCTCGATAAAAGGGTCCGACGCATGGTCGGCCTCGAAACTCAACATTACGGTATTGATCAAAGTAGGCATCAATAAATACTATTCGCTGGATCGGATCATGGACTCGGATCACATGTGCCACCGGATCCCGATCCGGGCCATGGCGAGGTCGTTTAACTCAACCTAGTATACGGTGTGGGTGGCCCGCTACGAAACATCAAAACATAACCTCAACACAAGCAACCAAAACAACATATTACATAGCTTGAAACATAACTCATAAATGGAACCTTTAAAATAGAACTTAAAACATAAAGGAAGCTAAAATGAAACCTACTTACAATGATATATGCTTGTTTAAGATTTTCTAGACTTTCTCTTCTTTTTCTTTCTTTCTTTTCTCTTTTACTTTTCCTCATAATGCCGTTTCTCTCCTCTCTTGGAAGCTATGATTTTTGTCAAGAAAATGGCAAGGTTTTAAGCTTTCTTTCATTTTTATATCACACTTTTTTCCCTTCATTTATTATTCTTCCAAGCGTCAAAATTTTATGATAAATTAAGGTCAAATGATGGGACTAAATGGGAGGCAAGTTGACAATTTAAAAATCCAAATGGGCTAGGTGTCACACTTTTAGAAAAAGTGATAGATTTGGTGTCAAATCAATAACTAAATGTGGGAACTAAAAAGGTAACTAAACTAACCAACTTCTTTATCCCATTTGATTCCTAAATTTCGACCATGCACCTTGTTTGGGACATGTTTTTCACTTGCATGGTCTTTAAAATATATGTTATGGGAAAAATAAATAATGACTAACTAAATTCCTAAAAAGTAATTCTAATAAACACTTTCATAAACCTTAGATATTCTAACAACACAAAATATAAAAGAAATGGCATAGAAATTACACTCACATAACTATGGATATTCCGGGAGATATTTTTCCCGAGAATCCACATCTCGCGGCATGTCGAAATAAAATTAATTTTTTTTTCAATCCCATATCTCCTCACCAAACATGCTCATGACACATAAATCATAATTTAAACTCGGTAGATGCAGATAGAATTATTTTAGTACGTATAGCTAGGTTAAGGAGTTTCACGAGGGTTACACTAAGTGTAGGACCTAATCGTAATTAGTGAACTTTTGCAACGTAGGTGTACCATCTAGATCTATAAATAAGTCACGGTGCCTTAGTAACTTGCGTTTATTGCACTCCGAACGTAAGTTGTCAATTGTAACATTCTCAACCTATTAAGTCCTAGATTGGTGGTGTTACACCAATATAGTAATATTATAACTATCAATCCAGCGGCGGAGCTCCAACTAGGATAAGGTGGCAATTAGCCCCCTTAAATTTTGGATTACCTATAATTAAAAGAAATCGTTAGTAACTTTAGTTTTGACCCCATATCTAATTGCGATTGTCATTTTAGCACATCTTTAATTCTCTATTAGTCCATTAGTTAATTGAGGAATTTTGAATCTTTTTGGCTTTTAATATAGGACATTGTGAAAAATTACCGCCAATCTAAAGTATAACTGATCATTTGTCCCTTTGTGTTTTGGAGCAAAAGTCTGGTATTATATCGGGATTTCTCGGATTAGAATCTATCCCGGGTCCCCGGTTACCTCAAATTGACTTTTTTAACCGTATCAATGGTTTGTTCTCTTGTAGTATTTATATTATTACTTTGAAAATTATTAGTTCTCCGACATGACAACCTTTTCTCGAGTCTTATAATTAATTGTCATTCTTCTACGAAGAAAACCAAAAGAAGTATGCAAAAGCCGATGCGAAATTCAAATCATCTCCCATTCTCGAGGAGCTACTGAAGTGATCCAAGCTAAACAAAGAAAAATAACTTAAAAGTAGTTTTTAATTTGGTTTCATATATATTGATATGGTGTGCTTCAAAATTTCTAATGAAGCTAAAAGTGGACGAGCTTTGCATGAGCTTAAGAACTAGATGTGTCATGAAGCTTTCTTATTATTTTCAATGGAATGTGAATTTCTAGGATTCTTTGGGAGGAAACGAGCAAAACGGTGATGATTGGTATGCCACTTATCATCTTTATATATCACGATGTTTAGAGTTTATATTTGTATTTTAGATTTCTCCATTCAATAGTTGTTTGTCGTATTCGTTATAGCATGTGTTAGCCCTGCCGACACAAATGCGGAGGAGACCTTGAATCCTTTGAAGTATGCAAATCATGCTTGCAATATTCGGAACAAAGAAGTGGTAAGTTTGCCTTCTCCACTTTTTTGTTGTGTTTGGTTTTGTCATGGTTTTCTTTTCACTCTCTTGACATTTTTTTCCTTCTTCTTAGGTCAATTGTGATCCATTGCTCGCTCAAATGCGGCGAGTGAAAAGCCAAATTGAGCAATTACAAGCGAAACAATCATTTTATCGTGGTGATGCAACCATCCCATTCAACGAGCTTCGTGTACATCAATTTGTGAATAAATACCCATATCTCGTTGCTTATCTTCTAAATTCAATTAGTTCATGATATGTGGTTGTTCGGATACTCAAACACAAAGTATCATTGCTTGAAGTGAGTAATACCGAATTACAATGACAACTCACTCGTGAACATTTGAATCAACATGTTGTTGATGCTCAAGTTATTAAGTTTCTATGTTTTTGTAATTGTTATGTTGTTTGTGATGTTTCTTTGTATTGATTACAACCGAGTCAATATTTCAAGTTGAAAAGGACAAATTGATAATGCAAATTGAATCAACTTGAAATGGTAAACCCAATAAATATTGACTTAATACGAAACAAGTACAACGTTTATCCGTAACATAATGTGTGCCACATGCGAGTGTATATATATATATATAACCATAGGAAAGTACTCGTTGTATTGATGAATTGGAATTTAATTGGTTATAGTATTTCTAATCCGTAGCTACATCCGTACTCCGCACCGCACCGCCTCTCTAATCCATCAATTTGGTTGGGTTGGAACTTAGGAGTGAAGTGTAGAATATTACTAATATGTTTTATACCTAGTCTTAATAAATTTCACTACTACAACTTTGAATTATAGAAGATCAATCCCTCTTAAAACGAGCTTTATGTTGCGGTGGAGAAAGCCGACAACCACGAAACAAGGCCCCCAAATATGTGATAAGCAATAAGGAAGGAGCCCATTAACCCTTTCAATAAAAATAAGCTTGTGCCGTGCGTTTGGGCTCTAATACTAATTATCCATCAACAACTAACTTTGCGGCCTTTCTACCAAACCCTCCCTTCACCGATTCCGTAGCCGCAATTGCTCCCAGTGGGCTCGAAGACCGATGATAACACTTTGACCTTACATTATCATAAAAATCAAACAAATATAAAAAAATATTCTTTTAGTCCGAGAGATAGTTTTTTTTTTATTGATTAAAAGATAGTTTAAAAAAATTAAAAATTATATAGATTAAGAAGACTATCAACATTTTTTCATATTTTTTAAAAATTATATTTGGACAATATTTTATAAAATAGACTTTAACCGTGAGTATTTAACACGTATCTTATTTAAAGTTTTGACCAAATAAATATTTTAGAATGAATATTTATAAAAAATAAATAATTTCTCTAGAAAAAAAAGCATAAAAATTAAATCTAATCAAATGAATTTAGACTAGATAATTAAAACAATAACTATTAAACTTCAAGTAGTATCTTGTTCTTTTAATTTTAACGATTTTCTAATGAGTTTTCTAAGTTTTTCGATTTCAAATTATTCATAATTAATCTTTTTCATGCTTAAATTTTAATATATACGTGTGTGTGGATCGAGAGATAAGGAGTTGAAAAAAATTAAATTGCAAGTAAGTTAGGAATGAAAGGAAAAAAATGGAAAGAAAACACATAAGTGAGAATAGAATTACCAATTTCAAAGTAATTAGCTATGTAAGTTTATGATTTATGGATTAGCGTGAAAGAGAAATGATAGAGTAATATTTTTATATAATAGGATACGTTTTCAATTTGTTTTTATATCTTTAATTAAATCAATTTTATTTTTATAAGTTATGTACATAATAAATTATATATATGATTGAGTTTTAATATATCATTGTGTTAACTTTTTTTTTTTTTTTTTAACATAATTGCTCATGCAACATTATATCGAAAATGACAACTTCACGGAAGAGAGAATAAGAGAGGAGGAGAAGGAAGTTACAAAGAGGGAGAGACAACTTCTTTCGTGTGATTTAAAAATAATAATAATAATAATATTCTCTTGTTTTGTCACGTATTTTGTCAATAACTAACATTTTCATTTAACTCATGACTATTAATTAGTTACGTACATGACTAATATGACTGAGCTTTCATATATAGTGTTCAATAAATTTAGATGAAAAAAATTAATTAAAAATAGATTAAAAATCAACTATTTTATAAAAATAAAATTATTTAATTAATGATATAATAACATATTAGAAACTCGTATACTATATAAATACAGACTTCGCTATTCTCCTTTATTGGAAAAAATTGAACGTAATTTGATTTTGAAATGAAATGTTCATGGAAGAGATTAAATGTTCAGACAACACACTGATTTTGGTTTTGGTTTTGTTAATAGCAGCAGGTAAATTTTGTTTTTATTAGTTCACAAATATGAAAATGACTTGAGTTAATTATCATTCAATCCCTTTGCTCTTTTGAAATAAATTAATTAATCAGTCCTCTTAATCTCGAAAATTATGTATTTGAAATTTATCTGTAAATTATTTTTTATTTATTGAAAAAAAGAGAAATACTTAAAATGGAAAAATTACCGGGTTAAAAAAATCTATACATTTCTACTTCTCTTTTGGAACATTCTCATTTGTGCTGGTAAAGAGTGTATACTGTACATATTATGTTATATGTTTCGTAAAAATAAATGATTTCAATAAATAGAGAATAGGATTGACTCAAAAGAAAAAAAAAACAAGGTATGAGAATGACTTGTGCTAGTTTTGAAGGCTGTTGTGATCTACGAGGGTGACACGACACGCAACAATTTGGGACCAGAAAAACAATATAATCGTGAAATAGCAAAATATTGAAACTAAAAAAATAAAAAACCAAAGAGTCAGTAGCTTCTGGTCAAATCCTAAAACTGAAATTGGGAAATTTGAATGCGTAGACAGTTGAGATAGTAAAAATAGAGAGGCATAGAGAGCTTTAGCGATGATGAGCCTTGTTGCAGCCGGCAGCTGCCAGTGCTTCTGCTCCTCCTCCTCCTTTGCCTCGGTTGCAACTCCAACCTCATGGCCAAAGATAAGAAGAGCAAGGGCAGCTCGAGCAGCTGTAGTGGAAGCGAGACCACCACCACCTCCTACTCGAGTGATGCAGCCAGCTGCACTGCGAGATGTTAAATTAATAGTGGGAGGGGATCGAACGGAAGACCTGCAGGCGGAGGCAAGGGCCATGGCCCGTGCTGTCAATGCGTCCGTCTATAGCCCCGAGGCTCTGACCGTTCAATACGGCTCCAGGCCGATCAAGGCAAGCAAGATTTTTTCAGTTGTTTTTGTCTTTCCTTTGGTTTGATTATAAATAATTAATTAATTAAACATGTGTATTGTATTTATGATGAATATCCATCTGAAATTTGATCGGAAAACATATAGGTATTGCGAAGGACTCTTGAAATATTGACAGCCTTGGGTTCATTTGGTTTGAAATTATTCCTGGACCAAAGGAATGGCGTGTTCGATAAGAAGAAGCGTGAACGAGCAGCTGAGCTCAGAAGAATTTTCACCCGATTAGGCCCTACTTTTGTTAAATTGGGGCAGGGCTTGTCTACCAGGCCGGACCTCTGCCCCCCTGAGTATCTGGAGGAGCTCTCTGAGCTTCAGGTAATCTATTTATTATTATTTCTATTTTTATCTCTATAATATTGGAGTTGTGCTTTGCATCTTGCAAGTTACTAGTCAAATACCTATTCTATCAAATCAATCAATTAATCACTAATTTCAATTTTGAAATGAATCATAAACAGGATGCTTTGCCTACATTCCCAGACGCTGAAGCATTTTCGTGCATTGAAAGAGAGTTGGGTCTCCCACTCGACTCCATTTTTTCATCCATTTCTCCTACTCCAATTGCCGCTGCCAGTTTAGGCCAAGTTTACAAAGCTCAACTTACGTATTCTGGACAGATTGTTGCTGTCAAGGTGCAACGCCCTGGTATCGAAGAAGCTATTGGACTTGACTTTTACCTCATCAGAGGCATCGGCTTTTTCATTAACAAATATGTTGACATTATTACCAGTGATGTAGTTGCTCTTATTGATGAATTTGCACGCAGAGTATATCAAGAGCTCAATTATGTGCAGGTTGTTTCCTTCATCATTCTTACTAATACTATCATTGCCTTGCATCACCACTTCATGAATTAATGCATGCATCTATAAATTATATTCTTCTCATATTTGCTGTTGGAAACACAAGAATCTCAGTCACTCTAGTTTTTTTCTTTCTTCTCTTTCTAGCATACTTATGCTACTTAGGTTAGGCCACCAATTATCTTTTTTAAAAAGTGGCCTTTCTTAGTCTAAAAATCTATTTCTTTCCTAGCTTCCTCTGCAACATTCTTTCGGGTTTGAATTTTAATTTCAACAGGATCCTGCAGGAGGGGCAGAATGCAAGAAGGTTTAAGAAATTGTATGCTGACAGGGAAGACATACTTGTTCCAGATATCTTTTGGGATTATTCGAGTGGCAAGGTTTTGACAATGGAATGGGTCGATGGAGTTAAATTAAGTGAACAAGATGCTATTGAGAAACAAGGTTTAAAGGTTCTGGATCTGGTCAACACGGGTATACAATGCAGTCTCAGACAGCTACTCGAGTATGGATACTTTCATGCAGATCCTCACCCTGGTAATCTCTTGGCAACACCTGAGGGAAAGCTTGCTTTTCTTGATTTTGGAATGATGAGTGAGACCCCAGAAGAAGCAAGATTCGCTATAATTGGTCATGTTGTTCACATGGTTAATAGGGACTATGAAGCCATGGCTCGTGATTACTATGCTCTAGATTTCTTGTCACAGGATGTAGATGTGTCTCCAATTGTTCCAGCACTTCGTGACTTCTTTGATGATGCACTCAGTTACACTGTCAGTGAACTAAACTTCAAAACTCTAGTGAATGGTCTGGGTGCTGTTTTTTATCAGTATCCATTTAATGGTAAGTTAATTTAATTTTTTTATATTTTAATTTTGATGCCTACCTTTTTGGTTCTGTAGATCAATAAAGCATATTTGATTTAATTGATCACAAAATAGCTAGTGAATGCAGTGCTTGTGGAATCTGATTGTTTGGTCTGTCAATTAACCTGCAGTTCCAGCTTATTATGCTTTGATATTGAGGTCACTCACTGTACTTGAAGGCCTGGCCCTTTCTGCCGATCCTAATTTCAAGGTGCTGGCTGCTTCGTATCCATATTTTGCTAAAAGGCTTCTCACTGATCCAAATCCATACCTTAGAGATGCTCTTATTGAGTTGCTCTTTAAGGATGGGAGGTTTAGGCATGTACTCTGCTAATATAAAATTCTATGCTTCTGTTGGAATCTGCTCAAAACCCCCTTGAGAACCTAACTTTTGTTATGCAGGTGGAATAGGCTTGAAAACCTACTTGTCCAGGGAAGAAAAGATAGAGATTTCTCTGCAAAAGATGCCTTACAACCTGTTTTGAAGCTATTATTGGGCCCAGATGGCGAAGAACTCCGAACTTTAGTTATTAAGGAGGCTGTTCGTGTCACTGAAGCTGTAGTGCTTGGCACAGTTGTTGATACGTACAATTCTATCCCGAATGTTGTGAGGGCTTTAATCTTTAATGGTAATGTAACTGGACCTCTCACGGTGAGTGATTCCGAAATAGAAAGCATGATGGCGCTTCGGGACCAAGTTTTTAGGATATGGGGGCTTCTGCGATCCTCTGAAGATTTTGATCCAGCGCTTTTGCAGCCTATATTACAGGTAAATATTTTTTTGTGTCATGCTAAAGATTGTCTTACATTTATGTGGAGGTGCAACTCTTTCAGCAGGAATCTAATCAATATCGTTGGTAAGGATGGCATCAAAGTAAATGGACCTCATTTGCACCAGCTTTTGCAAAAGTTTTTTTTTTTTTTTTCCCCAAAAATGTTACTGCAGCACATCCTAAGCACCCCCATTTTCATCACATCATATGTGGCTGTAAGTTTTCATTCAGCCATTCAAAAAATTAATTAAATTTAGAGCTCTTCTAGATTATTTTATTTGTTGATGGCATCTTAACCCTTTTTACCTCTTGGACTCTCACCCGAGCACAAACCCAATCTGTTTGTTGATGTACATTTGTGTTGAGAATATCACCGTAGACAAGGTAGAATGGAGTGTTGATTCCAGTGGCCAATAGAAACTGATGTTGGATTAAGGATTGATTGAGCTGAGTTGACCTTTTCCATTGATAAATTAAAATGAAAACGGTCTGTGGATCATTGTGGAGTAAGACCCATTCACTCTTGGGATGAAAACTAAATAGGAAAGTGTGCATGCACAGGTGCTTCAACAACCTGAGGCGCGCAGTCTAGGGGAGCGTGTTATTGGTGGCATCACTCAGCGACTTGCAGCACGATTATTACAACAAATTCTTCGAGTTCCAACAACAGTTTCTACTTCAAATTCATAAACTAGTCATAACAATTGGGGTAAGGTGAATGCATGTAATTATATGCTTGGGAAGGAAAACAGTGATCGATACATTTTCACCATTCTTTGCCTTGTTCATTGTTTAAATGAAAAAAATTGATAGGATCATTTGAAATGTGTATGCAAAGGGAGAAAAGGCTGTACCCACCACCACTGGTAAATTCCTCAAAGAGGGCACCTGGATATGGATGCAAGTGATTATACATTAATACTGCAACAGAAATGAACTATTTGCATTCTACGAACAAGTTTTTGTGATACACGGATGCAAGAGTAGCATTCAACTACAAGCTCATTAGTGTTTTGAGATGCCTTTACCAGTCTTTGTTAATTCGTGTGGCGACCTACAAATAAATTTCTTGTTAAATGAGTTAACTAAATTGTTAGATAATTGCCAGTAATTAGTTGTACTGAAAAAATGCAAATGGATCTTGCATTGCTACTTTGTTGTTACTTGTTCATAATATTATCCTTAGCAGTGTTCTTTTTTAACAAGTTTGGATGTTTTATGGCGACTTATAAATACAATCAATAATAATACAGTCAAACTGACTGTTTTTAATAATTCTCCCATTTGGTTTACGAAAGATTCGGTTTGCTTAAAGTTTTAACAGATAATATTGCATTTTTATAGAAGGCTGAACCTAAGATTTAGAGGGTGTAAAGAAGAGCAACTCTTGTTGCCCTGATTCATGGTCATGGGTGCTATTGTCTGATTCGATAAATTGTTAATAAATTAGGGTGATCTTTGCGCACTTCCCTTCTAAACGTGATCTCCTTGTCGCAAATTCGGGTTGGCCTAAGGGTACAAGGTGCACCTTTTTATCTTATTGTGTTTCGCTCACTTTGCTTTTGGATTGTTGACAGGTTGGCCTAAGGGTCACAACTTCAAATTAGACATCGAGGATATATTTTTGATCAATTGGTTCGGTGGTCCTAAGCCTCTCACAGTAGATCAGTATCTACATTATAAAGTGTGAGTAATCGAGCAGAGATCCTGTGTTCTGTTATCAATTGATTCCAGTCTGAATTGAATGGATTAGATTTCTTAGGCTCATAGAGGTGTTTGGTGTGACCTTGTTTTGAAAATTAAGAAAACTTATCTTATCACCTTAACACACGAATATATATATATATATATTGGTGGAAGCCTCTCTTCACGACTCTTGTCTCTCCCTCCAACTACTTGATTCCAAAGCAAAAGGATCCAAATCCTTGCGCAGCCCAGCCTCGACAACTCTGCCACGTGGCCAATTAGGGAAACAGCCCTATTTTGTCAGGGAAGTGACGTTGCTTACTGATACGATGATTAGCGGTTTAAAATATATAACCCATTGCCTAGGAGGGAAGAGGGCCGTCACAAACAATGCATAAAGTAATTGACTTAGCTGATATAATGATGCATATACTAAAAAAAAAAAAAAAAAAAGACAAGCGGTGTGGAGTCATATGAAACAAAGTTTTGTAAGAAGCCGGCCAACGAAGGTCACGGGAGCCTAATTTTCAATTGTCAAAAAATAAAAGGAGATCAGGGGTGTTCTAAGCCTATAATATTAATATGTCAAATCTGTCGAGCGGCCATCTACCCCATTCGATAGCCAAAGGGATGAACGGAGTGAAAATGAATCGACAGAGATCTTGCTGCACACATTCTTCCTTCACTCCATCCACAACCACGATAAAAAAGAGCCTAACAATTCCAGAGGATGATGAGATAACTACGAGGAGCCACAAGTCCCAACAAAATGGCCGCTGGAGTGTTGATTGGCAGTGCTCAAGTAAGCATACGAGTAGTGGAAAGGGGAAGAAAGTAATTAACTTGGAGCGTAGAAGGTCTGTTGATAGATATCATGAATGCCGTAGTATTGCTCCAGAAACTACTAACTGTTCCCCAGGTCAAGGATTCTACTCAGAGTCAGAAGAGGACTCATCAAGCGAAGAAGAAATTGATGCTATGATCCTGGACAATATTGATCACTCTTGCTATAGTCATGCTTATTTGAGAAGATGTTATAGCCAACACAAGGATCGAAATCGAGGGAGAAAAAGTGTGCGTCACTCAAGCACAAGCTTGAGAGACAAGTATCAACCAAAGAGTTTCCAAGACATTGTGGGCCATGAAATAATCACCAAGGTCATCTCCAATGCCGTTGATAAGAAAAAAATTGCCCAGCTTTATCTGTTCCACGGCCCCAATGGCACTGGCAAGACATCAACTGCTAGAATATTTGCCATGGCGTTGCAATGTGAATCCCCCATTCATTTAATAAACCATGTTGGAGTTGCAGAGGATGCTCCAGAAGCCCGTCTGTCATGAAGCTGTGCTGTGGAAGTAGGGCTAGTGGATTTCAAAGAATTAGCATACTTCTCCAAAACACCTCTTTTATACAAGCACCGCCAACAATTAAGGTATTCATCATTGAGGAGTCTCACAATCTTGCTGCAGAAGCGTGGGATCAACTCCTGGATATAGTAGAAAATATGCAAAGTGCTGCTGTGGTGTTTGTGCTGATCACTGTAGATGCAAGCACGATACCAATATCCATATCATCAAGATGTCAGAAATTCTTTTTCCCAAGACTCAAAGACGCAGATGTCATGCTAAAGTTGGCAGGAATTGTAGTACAAGAAGATATTGGAATCGAGGAAGAAGCTCTGAAACTCATTATCATGAAGGCAGAAGGATCCCTGAGAGAAGCAGAGCACTTATTGGATCAGTTAAACTTACCGGGACTAAGAATCACTAGTTCCATGGTCCAACAATTTGTAGGTGTCTTTTTTCCTTCTACCCTTCTCCCCTGCACATAAACAAAAAGAGATAAATAGGTCACACGCATGCAAATATTTATGGTCCGTGTGAGCGGTGCGAGTGAGTGCGTGCGTAACACGTCAGATTATATCGCAGAACTGCTCATTGACAAGAAAATGTCAACCATCTAGCAAACAACTTTAACAATGAAGTGATTCTGATTGTTCTCTGAATACAGGTTGGTCTAGTTCCGCTGAATAAACTCATTAACTTGCTCACAATAGCACTTTCTGGTGACACTGAGAAGACTTTATTGTCTACTACAAGGGAATTGATTGCAACAGGAGTTGAAGCACAAACTCTCGCATTCCAGTTGGCAACTCTCATCGCTGATCTACTTTCAGAAGCTTCTGCCACCACTCCTAATTACTCCACGTTGGTTGGGCCATCAAGCGAGAAGAAGAGGCTGCTAACGAGTAAATTACAACACAGTAAGATGCATAGAATTATTCACATTATATTATCATTTTCAAATGTGTCAATTCTCAGCAAAACTTTTGCAGCCAATGTTCAGCCAGAGAGATTGTGCCATACCTTGAAGATATTGATTGATGCAAAGAAGCAACCCAGATCATCAATCGACAACATCACACAGATATATGCAGCTCTCCTGCAAATCGCTCCACAGAACAATTCAAGTGGAACATCTTCAGGATTTTCCTTGCCTAATGGCATAATAATACCAACAGGTACCGTCTTTAATCATTAGACCTTTAGGCTAGAATACAGATTTCAAGGTTTTAACTGAAATAATAGGAGGTTTGGAGAACAGACCTTGGCGACCTTAATACCTTGTAATGGTCGCAATTGTGCGTAGGTGAGACAACACAACTGGAAAATCATCATTGCATGAGCAAAACTTCTGAGCACTCAACTGTTGACAGAATAAGCATAAAGACATTTAGCAAAAGCAAGCAAAGCAGAACCGTTGAATGCATAGAGAAGACAATGAAATGCAGGGGTATAGATGTTGATGAGGGGCTGAACTTAGCACGCTGGACAGACATGGAAGAAACTTGGTTGCATATTCTAGACAACATACAGAGTATAGATATGAAAGAATTCTTGTCAAGCCATGTGAAGCTAGCATCAGTCACATTAACCTGTGGTAATGCTATTCTTTTTACCATTTAGTGTCTCATGAAGTTACACTAAGTGAAGTGTTATGGGAAAGTTAATTTGAGCGGCCCACTTTCTAATGTTATAAATTATTGGATTTCAGCAGCCAACGCCATTGTACATTTGGTGTTCAAAACACCTGAAGACAAGTTGGCAGCCCAGATTTCTGAAGAAAGCATATCAGAAGCTTTAAAAAGTTCCATCGGATGCCCTGTTATTATAAATATGAGCTTAGAGCCGCTTGACATGGGTTTCGTTCAAGAATGCAATGCCTCGAACAACAAGAGCAAGCTGGAGGAAAGTAATTATTCAATGCAAATGCAGCAGAAACTATTTCTTCCTGAACTTGTAGACGTTACAAATCCTAGAGTTAGAATGCACCAAAACAAACATGTAAAACCGGCTTCTCCATCAGATAACAAACCAAGGCCCACTGAGTTGAAAGATAGCATGTCGATATCTCAAGAAGAAGATGGATCTCCAACGAGAGAAGCAAAGCTAACCAGATGTTTACGCGGCCAAATGTCGCCCTTTTTTGGACTTATAATGCAAGATAACCAATTGGAAGCCTCTACAAGTGCCGCAACCAACTCTTTGATAAGGGATCAGGGCAAGGCTAACACATCCCATGTCATGATAACTGAAAGGCCTAAGCACAGGTGGTTGTCACTGTCCTCTATTCAGCAGAGTGATGCAAGCGTTCAGCCATACAGTCAAGACATTTTGTTTGAAAATGCGAACATAGACAGAGAGAGCAGAACTAACAAAAACCCAAAGCTTCAAAAAGATTCCTCTAAGGTTCATAAAGAGCTCCATTTGCAGGAGAGGGCTAAAAGCATGTAAGTAGAGTCAGTTTTCGACCATTATTTCTAAAACATGTAGTGTTTGCGTACAGGGATGGAGAGGTAGAAATTAATCCACTTTTCTCCCATGTTATGATTAATCCAGTGCTATTTCTGCAGGCGATTATTCCGCTCTTGGAGTTGCAAGGAGTTACTCGGTCAGACAGACAAAAGTAAAAACCTCGCAGCATGATAGTTAACAATGTCTTACATATGTAGCACGGAAAAAACTCACAACATTGGGGTCCACAGAAACTGAGTTGCACCTGCAAATATATTGTTTTGAAATTCAATCAGTTCTCAGCGTGAAAACTGGTAAATCAGATTGAGCTCTTATATCTACAATAATGGCTGAAGAGTGCATCTCAGAGAAGGGCGATCCCATATATCTACAGACTACAAAATCAAAATTAGTACTGTTTGCCTTGAGCCCTATATTTATTTACTCCTTTCTCCATGTTGTTTTTATCTGGATTGCTTGAATAATATATATATAAAGTGAATTTCATTCTCTTACCAAGATGTTTGAAGTTTCCTGTCACGTTCTGAAAGAGTGTGAATCTGTTTCTATATCGACTGATTCAATAAAATATGTAAATGCCTGCATGTTCTGCAATGAGCATGGATCCACCAACTTTTGCTGATTCTATCGAACTGCTAAAATTATCATGAAATATGCAAACGAATTCCTTTCTTTAAGCAATGAGGACCTGAGGAGCGGCAGTTCCAAGAGGACGGCAACACCGAACCCTTCTTCTCTTCTCCTTCTCTTAAACTAACTGTAAAGTTATGCGTTGGGTAAGAGGACTAAATAATTATTTATTGAAAAAAGGGGACTAATTAATTCCTTTCTAAAAACAAAAGGAACTAATTTGTAATTTACTCAAGACAACAAAACCTATACTTCAGCAGCCACCGTTGTTCTCCTCCTTCTCTTAAACCCTACAGTCATATTCTACTCCAGCAGCCACCCTTCTTCTCTTCTCTTTCTCTTAAACCCTAAAATCATATTCTACTTCAGCAGCCATACCTTCCTTTCTACAACTCTCAATGTCTGTTACCGTTATCACTCATGAAAACGCTTCCACCACCATCTGGTGTTAGACCCAAAACAGTGGAGAAAGCTGTGGATGCTCTTCTTAAATGGACATCTTCCAAACTGAATGCCCAAAAGCCTCAATCCCACGAGAGGGCTTAAGCCCCATCAACGCCCACAAAATCCCTCTCCCCACCCCCTTAATCAACCCTTTAAACGAAGCCCCCTGAGCTCTGCTTAATCATCGATGACAGACCCAAATCAGGCCTCAATAAAGATGCTGCCAAGAAGAAGATTCAAAACGACAACATTCCCACTTGCAAAATCATCAAGATTTCCAAGCTTAAGACCGATTACCGTCCTTTTGAGGCTAAGAGGAAACTTTGTGATTCTTATGATATTTTCTTTGCTGATAAAAGGTTGGTTCCTCTCTTGCCTAAGATGTTAGGGAAGCGGTTTTTTAAGAAGAAGAAGATTCTGGTGACTCTGGATTTGAAGCACCACAATTGGAAGGAGCAGATGGACAAGACCTGTGGGTCTGCATTGTTGTATCTGAGGAGTGGGACTTTTAGTGTGGTGAAGATAGGGAGGATTTCGATGAGTAGAGAGGAGATTGCCAATAATATGATGGCTGCTGTTAATGGGATTGAGGAGATTGTGCCTAGGAAGTGGGGTGTTATTCGGTCTTTTCATTTGAAGTTAATTGATAGCCTGGCTTTGCCTGTTTATCTGGTAGTTGATGATTTGAAGCTGAAGATTGATGCTGGCGCTAATTAGGAGGAGGACGGCGTGGTTGCTCAAGAGGAAGAGAAGGAGAAGGTTAAAAAAGGGGAGGTTGGTGGGAAAAAGAAGGGAAGGATACATGTAGTTAGATATATGGATGATAATAATGATAATGAAGATGGTCAGGTTGTTGATGAGGATGAATTGTGGAGTGATGGTGAAGAGGATATTGATAATGATGATGATGATTTTGAAAAGGGTAGCGGTGAATTGTTAAATAAGGAGAGAAAGAAGGGAGATAATAAAGGGAAGGACGAGGAGGAGGAGGAGGAGGAGGAGGAGAGAAAGGAGGGAGATAATAAAGGATACATGAGGTTAGATATATGGATAATAATAACAATGATAATGTTGATGGTCAGGTTGTTGATGAGGATGAATTGGAGAGTGATGGTGAAGAGGATCTTGATAATGATGATGATGATTTTGAAAAGGGTAGCTATGAATTGTTAAATAAGACGAGAAAGAAGGGAGATAATAAAGAGAAAGATGAGGAGGAGGAGGAGGTAGATAATAAAGGATACATGAGGAGGAGAGAAAGGAGGGAGATAATAAAGGATACATGAGGTTAGATATATGGATAATAATAACGGTAATGTTGATGGTCAGGTTGTTGACGAGGATAAGGATGAGTTAGGGAGTGATGGTGAAGAGGATCTTGATAATGATGAAGATGATTTTGAAAACGGTAGTGGTGAATTGTTAAATAAGAAGAGAAAGAAGGGAGATAATAAAGAGAAAGACGAGGAGGTGGAGGAGAAGGTAAATAATAAAGGATATATGAGGAGGAGGAGAGAAAGGAGGGAGATTATAAAGGATAAATGGGGTTGGATAGATGGATAATAATAATGATAATGTTGATGGTTAGGTTGTTGATGAGGATGATTTAGGAAGTGATGGTGAAAAGGATCTTGAAAATGATGATGATTATTTTGAAAAGGGTTGCGGTGAATTGTTAAATAAGAAGAGAAAGAAGGGAGAAAACGAGGGGAATGATGAGGAGGAGGAGAAGAGAAAGAAGGGAGATAATGAAGGATGCACGGGGTTAGATATATGGATAATAATAATGATAATGTTGATGGTCGGGTTGTTGATGAGGATGAATTAGGGAGTGATGGTGAAGAGGATCTTGATAATGATGATGATGATTTTGAAAAGGGTAGTGGTGAATTGTTAAATAAGAAGAGAAAGAAGTGCTAAATAAGAAAAGAAACGTAATACCCATATAACCCTTATAAGATAGGTTAAGTGGGGTGTTTAAATAAGAGATAATAGGTAACTTTAGAAAAAAAAAAAAAAAGAGGAAAGAAAGAAACAAAAGGAGATGGTAAAATGGTTTCAAATTGAAACCAACAAAAGAAAAACGGGGGAGAAAAAAAAGAAAAGACTCATCGATAATCACCCACTCCGACGACGACTACAGCGACGGTAGTGGTGGAGTGATTCGAGTAAAAAGAAGAAAATTAAAGATAAAAAGAGGTGGAATAAGGAAGAAGGAAAAAGATTTATCAAGTTAGTTTTTGAATTTGTTTTTGAATGTTTTAGTTAATTATAACCTTAATTAAGATGGCTTATAAGTAATTTAGTGAATTTTATTTTAAATTAAGAATTAGAATTATGAATTAGGTTTGATTAAAATTAGGGTTTATGTTAGTTTAGAAAATTTGAGGGAAGTGAATGAATGGGTTAATTAGTGGTCTAATTAAGCTTGAATTTTAATTTATTAGTGTCTAATTATTGTTATTTATAATAAATGTAAATTTATGATGATAGAGGTAAAAGAGAAATTGGTGGAATAAGCTATTTAAAGAAGAAATAATTGCAATTTGGGGTGTTCCTCTAGATTAGAGTAAGTATAACACCTATTATGAATCTTTACTATCATATATGTCTATATTGTTTGAGGTGAATAATTGATTGTACGGATAAATGCTTAATTATTAAAAATAATTGCATGTGAGTTGAATTGTTTAGTATGGGTATTCTTACCGTAAGCTAGATGAATTAAATTTGTATGTGTCATATGAATTATGGTTATTAAAGAGAATATTGATACATTGAATGATTATGTGCATGTTGATATGATGATCAATTGCATTAAATGAGATTGTGTGATTGATATGTATTGAATGAGAATAATGATATTGATGATTTGAAAGAAAGTCTATGCGGGACTAACTAAGTTAATAGGTTTATAGTTAGCATATGTGCACCTAGTATTGCTGGCTAGGGAATAGCCGCGATGCTTCCCTTAGAGTTCATCCCTACGGGGCTATAGTTTATCCTTTTGAGGGCTAGAGTTTACCCTGCGATTGCCAAAAGAATAGACGAGTTCCGCATAGAGTGATTTCAAGTAATCATTATGCTATTATTAATTATTAAGAAAGAAAAAAGAAAAAGTTATTGATTGCTTGCTTGGTTGCAAATCATGTATGATAAGTGCATTAGCATAATTGTATGTATAGCGATTTATAATGTGTTATGCTTATCGAGTTTTGAAAACTCACCCTCAACCTCAAATATTTTGTAGATAATACGAAGCTAGATAACGAAGGAGGACAATAAATTTTCCGGATTTGAACGTACTACCCGGACATTATTTTGCTTCCTCCGGGTATAGGACATGGTCGTTTCAAATTTATACTCATTGTCCATTTTGAAATTATAATTAGTCATTAAATATTTTATTTCACTTAGTTGCTCCGTCGGTAGTATCACCAAATCCGGGGATAGATAGTTAAGGGTCTCCATGTTTTGTATTTTAATGGTTAAATGATGATTTATGAATTTTTTTATATTAAATATTGGATTATGTGTTTTTTAGTTAATTTAGTAAATACTGAGATTTATGAGGAAATGTGGATGTCCAATGGAGGGACTTGATGATGATTGAGAATTGATGAAGATGATTTAGAAATGTATATATATTGTGATTTTTATGCGGGATATATATTATTTTTGGGACACTCCAATTATAGGGGAAATGCTATCGAAATTTCTATAGGAAATAGCGAAAGGATTAAGGCTCACGTAGCTTGTGGTGGGTTACCCACCTCGAGCTACGTATCGATCGCGGCTAACTAGTTCGAGTCGTCACAAAGTTGGTATCATAGCAATGGTTTAAGCTTGCGGATATGCTTTAAGGTTGAACAAGTAAGTTATAAGATAAGCCTTTGGTTTTGCACCGCGGAGCTATAGGTAGTTATGGGTTCTTAAATTGTCTTTGAGTTATTCATTACATCTTAGTTTCCGTGTAACGCTTCTTATTATATCGAGTTAAGTATACTTGTGTATTTCTTATAAAATGATATTGATTAGAACTCTTTTGTTACTAGATAGCGAGGACTAAAGGCGGTAGAGGTAGCAGGGGTGAAAGAACCCCTAATGTAGGTCATGGAAGGGGTGCCGAGCCTCACGTACGAGCACTTGATTTAGCTATCCCACATGTTACATAGGGTAACAAGCATAGTAGATGAGATTTTATGACAAACAAGAGAGAGGCAAAGGAGGAAAGAGTGACTGGGTCTGCGGCCATTCTAGGGGCACAAGATGTTGCTCAAAACTTGAACTTATTAACGCATATCGTTGCACGGCATGAGAGGCTACATGCACAAACAGGGATGGCACCATCCTCTTTACATGCTAATGAGGATGGAGTGCCATTATCCGAGTACTTAAAACTTAAACCGCCGTGGTTTGAAGGAAAACCCGATGAGAATTCTCATTTGTTTCTAGAGGAGATAGATGCAAGATGTAAGGCATTGTGTTGTGATTCTTGAAAGGCGAGTGCAAATAGTAGAATTCGTTTAACTGGGACGACTAAATGTTGGTTTAAGATCGAGGGATTGTCTAACTCGGTTTTGGGAGGATTTCGATAAGGCTTTTATGGATAGATTTACGTCGGAGAGTGTTAGGCGACAACGGACATTTGATTTTGAAAGATTGAGACAAGATGCTTCCATGATCGTTACCGAATATGATGCACGATTTATGGAGTTGAGTAGGTATGCTCCTTACTTAGTCGGCACGGAGGAGCTAAAGATGTCTCGATTTATAGGTGGTTTAGTGCCACGACTTCGTGCACTTTTGATTCGTCTGCAAGGGTGAACACCTATGCGAGAGGTCGTAGAGTGTATCCGATTAATAAAGTTATCTCGGGTGGATCGTCTAAAAAAGCATAGTTCTCGACCAAAAAAGAGTACGGGTGAGGGGTAGTCCGAGGGCCATCGGGGTCGAGGTAGTGGACTTAATGGATTTAGTAGAGGTACGGGCCATCGGGGCTAAATGGGCCAACAAGGCTTACGGAGGGGATACCACCGGAGGCTCGAAACATCTATGAGTAGGAGTCGGGGATCTATTAGCTACGACCAACGAAGGCTTATGTCACGACCCAAACCGATGAGCCGCGATCGGCACGTAGCTCGAGGTGGGATGACCTACCACAAGCTACGTAAGTCTTGATCCTTTCACTTATTTACTACGAAAGTTCTGCAAGCATTTCCCTATAATTGGAGTGTACCAAAAATAATATATATTACGCATAAAAATCTTAATATATATACATTTTCAAATCATCTTCATCAATTCTCAATCATCATCAAGTCCCTCCATTAGACATCCACACTTCCTCATAAATCTTAATATTTACAAAATTGACTAACAAACACATAATCTAATATTTAACATAACAAAATTTATAAATCACCATTTAACCATCCAAATACAAAATACGGAGACCCTTAACTAGCTATCCTTGGATTTGGTGATGCTACTAGCGGAGCAACTAAGTGAAATAAAATATTTAATGACTAATTATAATTTCAAAATGGACAATGAGTATAAATTTGAAACAAACATATCCTATACTTGGAGGAAGTAAAATAATGTCCGAGTAGTACCTTCAAATCCGGAAAATCTATCGTCCTCCTTCTATGATTTAGCTTCTATATCATCCATAAAACATTTGAGGTTGAGGGTGAGTTTTCAAAACTCGGTAAGCATAACACATATTATAAATCGCTATACATACAATTATGTCAATTCACTTATTATACATGATTTGCAGCTACGCAAGCAATCAATAACTTTTTCTTTTTTCTTTCTTTCTTAACAATTAATAATAGCATAACAATTACTTGAAATCACTATATGCAGAAGTCGTCTATTCCTTTGGCCCTCAAAAAGGTAACTCGGCCCTCAAAAGAGTAAACTATGGCCCCTGTAAGGGTGAACTACGAGTGAAACACTGCGGTCATTCCCTAGTCGGCAATACTAGGTGCACTTAGGCTAACTATAACCCCGTTAGCTTAGTTAGTCCCGCATGACTTTCTTTCAAGTCATCAATATCATTATTCTCGATCAATGCATATCAATCTCATTTAATGCAAGTGATCATCATATCAACATGCACATAATCATTCAATGTATCAATATTCTCTTTAATAACCATAATTCATATGGCACATACAAATTCAATACATTTAGCTTACGGTAAGAATACTCATACTAAACAACTCAACTCACATACAATTATTTATAATAATTAAGCATTTATTCATACAATCAATTATTCACCTCACAAACAATATAGACATATATGATAGTAAAGATTCATAATATGTGTTATACTTACCTTTAATCTAGAGGAACACCCTAAATTGCAATTATCTCTTCCTTAAGTAGCTTCTTCCACCAACTCCTCTATCATCATAAATTTATATTTATTATAAATAACAATAATTAGACACTAATAAATTAAAATGCAAGCTTAATTAGACCCTAACTAACCCATTCACTCACTTTTTGCAAATTTCCTAAACTAACATAAACCCTAATTCTTAATTCAAAATAAAATTCACTAAATTACCTATAACTCATCCTAATTAAGGTTATAATTAACTAAAACATTCAAAAACTAACTTGATAAATCTTTTTCCTTCTTCCTTATTCCATCTCTTTTTATCCTTATTTTTCTTCTTCTTACTCGAATCACTCCACCACTTGTCGTTGGAGTGGGTGATCGTCGATGTCTCTTTTTCTTTTTTTTCTCTCTCGTTTTTCTTTCTTTCTTTTGCTAGTTTCAATTTAAAACCATTCCGCCATCTCCTT